CGAGGACGAAATTACACATCCTGTGAGACTAAGGCCCGAGAGGCAGGCTGCTGGGGATGAGTTGGGTGAGGCAGGAGGAGCGCTACCATCGGATCGGACGGCTACGATTCCAACCCGTGGGAGGAATGGAGCACCGGGGCGCTCATAGAGAAATCGCGCTACGAGCAATGACATTGCAACACCAAATCACACACATTCCCCCCGCTACTACTCGCAAGAGGACTTAGCGAAGCGAACATATCTGTTCGCGGCCATCGCTGATTGGGACGTGGCAGCACTATGCGATAGTCGTCAGCCATCCCTGTCACGCCGATTACCACCAAATTTGTGACAGTTGTTCTCACTGGCGTTACTCACGCCCCTCCACCTCTCGCGAAATCCGGATTCGGTAGCAGGGTGGCGACTCCTCTTTCTCCCGCGACTCACTCTTCGCCAAACATCGCCCAGATGACCGAAATGGCCCGAGGTCAAAGCTCGGCTCAGATCTTTCCAGCGCGGCGAGTGGGAGCAGTTGTATTTGGACGCAATCGAAGTCATCAACGCCCCACCACCTCAACATCACCATCCTGACGAGGTGGGAGTCCTCAGCAGGGCGGAAGGCCTGGCAAAGCGCGAAAGTCTACGCCGAGCAGTAATGATTACACTGGCGGCGCTTTTTTCCCTTCTACCGTATTCTCCCGGATAAAACACACTAGGGTGTTATGATGACCACTGGGAAAAAATTGGGGGGGTCTCCTCAACGGAAAATCCTACATAATAGCGACTTAGGAACCATTAGTAGGGTTCAGGACTTAAGAGCTAGGAAAGTAGCGAGAGAATGGAGATGGCCAAAAGAGAGGCTTGAATAATGGAGGGCATACAAAGATATAGGCAAGGGCAAAGGGGAGGGTACACCACCAGCAGTTGATACTAATAGCTAAACTAATACACTAGCTGCAAGCTGTAGACAGTTATAAACAGGATATGCAATATAATTTAACACACCCCCGTAACTGTTTACGGCTTTAGCTAGTGGTGTCTAGCACCAGGTCGCCTGGAGAGCGGTTGCTTGTAGCTGGGATGGGCACATAAACAGCGGTGGCTGACCGGCAGCACCTGTGAATGCCAGAGCGGAGGAGGGCGCGAAGGGCGCGGAGGAGGGCTGGGATAACCGGAGGGCGTAGGCTGCTGGTGATTAACACCAACTGTTGGTTAGGAGGAGGAAGCTGGTGGTGCACAAGAGGCGGAGGCAAAGGAGAGGCGGTTGGAGGAGAGGAGATAGGAGGAGGAGTGCAGCGGAGAGGCGGCTGGACGAGCGGAGATAGGAGGGAAGGAGGAAAGGTGGAGAGAGGCGGCTGGAGAGGAGAGGAGAGAAGGGACGGTTGGAGCAGAGGAGAGAGGATACGAGAGGAGAGGAGGCGGCTGGCGCGGCAGAAGCTCTCCCGCCACCCCCTCACCCTCCTCCCCCCCCCCCCCCTCCCCCATAGCGACAGGCGCTGCAGGGAGAGAGCAAGGAGCTGGTCACCCCCGCCACCCCCTCATCCCCCTCCCCCCCATGCTCTGGCGTCGGCGGAGGTGCTGGCGCTGGGCGCTGGCGACGCGCTGGCGCTGGCGCCCGCCGTCGGCGCTGGCGTCCGCGCTGGCGCTGGCGCTGGCGACCGCCATTGGCTCGCCAGCGCCGGCGCCCGCCGTTGGCTCTGGCGCTGGCGACCGCCGTGGCGATCGTCGCTGGCGCTCGCGCTAGCGTCCGCGGCGGTCAAAGGCGCTGGTGCTGGCGTCCGCGACCAGTGGCGGGGCGACGCGCCAGCGCGTGGGACGGGGCGACCAGCGCGTGGGGCGGGTAGCACGGGGCAAGCAGCGCGGGGCAGGCAACGAAGCAGCGGGCCGACGGTCGCAACCACACAGCCCGCCGTCGCACTCGTCACGACGATCGCAACTAAGGGCGTGACGAGCGCCAGTCGGGAGATACGCGGTGGGCCCATGGGGAATGAATTTCAGCCTCAGAAAGGCCCAGCTCTTAATACCATGTCAAAGTAACTTAGGAACCATTAGTAGGGTTCAGGGCTTGGAAAGTAGCGAGAGAATGGAGATGGCCAAAAGAGATGCTTGAATAATGGAGGGCATACAAAGATATAGGCAAGGGCAAAGGAGAGGGTACACTACCAGCAGTTGATACTAATAGCTAAACTAATACACTAGCTGCAAGCTGTAGACTGTTATAAACAAGATATGCAATATAATTTAACAGCCCAGCCTTCGGATGTGTCGGTGAACCGCACGTTCAAGTGCGGGGTGCGTGCCCGCTACAGCGCATGGTTCGAATAAGATGGCATCAACCTAACCACTCACGCAGGTTCGTTGATGCCATGATAACCGTAGGGTGCAATTTCCGTTTTATTGACAGTGCACGCTTTGCAGATGCACGGTTCTAATCCTACATCCCTTCCCTTGCCATAGGTAACCTGAAGAAGCCGCCTACGGACTTGGTTCTCCGCTGGATCGACGAGTCATGGGAAGCTGTCCAGAGGAGCTTGTGAAGAAAGATTTCATCACATGTGGGATCTCCCCCAAGATCGATGGCACTGAAGACCACCTGATCCTTGCCCACATGCGGGACAAGGGGAGGTTGAGGTCCTTGACGACGTCAACGACCTCGTTGATGACGAGCTCGTCGTCAACCCGTTCTACGCCGAGGCCCCCGTGCCGCCCGAGAAGCTGGAGGAGGCAGAGGAGGATGACGCCGCAGAGGAGGCAGCAGAGGCAGCGGCGGAGGCGGAAGAGGAGGAGTGGAACGCGACTGAAGAAGACGGTGAGGCGGGAGAGTACAACGATGACGATGATAATTGGTGGCGCCCTGGCCGCTATGACTGTGAAGAATGTGAGGAGTGGCATGCAGGGGGCAATGAAAAAGAGGAGTAGGCAGTCCTAGGAGAAGCACTATTGAGCAGAGACAGAAGTAGGAGGTGATTTTAGTGATGTTTTTGAGTAATTGTAGGGTCTAGTTGCTGTGTGCGATACATCAGTGGTAGATTGTAGCCCTAACTGTACAAAATGTGAGATAAAATTGCACTTTTGCCGCACATAACACCCACCCCCCGGGTCTTATAGAGAATCACCCCAAAATGGGGGGTATAGTACTAACGGGGTCGCATACAACACCCACCCCGCACAAGCTACCCGGGGGTGTACAATTAGTGGGGGTATTTTATCTGGGAGAATACGGCAATTTGTCCCTATTTGTGCAATAGCCCAAACACAACCATTCTCCCACCATTGTTGCGTTTGAGCTATCGAACAGGGCCCTTATATTCGTAATGAATTCGCGGAAATTTCGCGCGCGCGGCGCGTCAATCTGTGTCAGAATTTCGAGTCTAACACAAATGAAGTGTCAGAATTCGAGTTTGACACAAAAAACGTGTCAGAATTCGAATTTATGCTAGTAAAAGCTGACGCACAATAACAATAATAACTAATGTACACAGAAAAGGGGGGTCTTATGATGATTAGAGGCCAAGGGGGGGTCCTCACAATATCGACCACAATAAAAGTCCCTCTACCGGTTCAAGAGTCCCGGGGGACCTTACCGGCTGGTCTTCTAGCCGGAACTATGTTGGGGTTTTATATTCGGTGGATTATGATGGAATTAAGGTTAATTCGGGTTGCTCCAATAAACATATGTAGTGATACATCTACGATATAGTAGTGTAGAATACATTGGTTGGGTTGGGAGAACTTGTGATGTACAATCTATAGAGTGGACCACCTCCCAAACCCTATAGGAAACCACTTTGGTTCTAGCTTGGTTCATGCCCAAGTGGGCTCCTAAGGTTCCTAGGCTTTAGGAGGAAGTTCTAAAACTACTAAAGCTTCCGCTAATAGCTTTGTCCATTCTAACATGGTATCAGAGCTAGGAAGGCCTAGCAATCTGTTGGAATAGGAGCTACTCAAGAAATTTGATCATAACACCTTGGTGGAAGTTAAATAGCTTCCATCCCTCCCGAAGGGCTGCCGAAATTGCATTGTGGCGGACTCTGGACGTGGGAGGGGAGGAGGAGAGAAGAAAACTGCTGGAAATCGTGTGGATCCTTTCCGGAGGACGAGAAGAGCGACATCCATTCACGGAGGCGCTAAGTCAACTTTGGCCGATCAAGACGCGCAGCATACCGTTGGAAAGGTTTCAGCACGATCTACAACAATTGCCTTGGGGTCGCTGCCAATCGACGAGCGGATTGGACGCAATTTGCGAAATAAAGTCGGCGGGCGAATTGGAAATCACGAAACGGGGAAGATTTAAAGTGCGGAAAAAAGATTGAAGGGCAGACGCCGACAGAGGAGGCCAGGGCGCATCCAACAAGCCAAAAATCGGGAGAAACGGTCGAGTCTTCGTCGACGAGAAATTGGCCAACTTCGACGAGTTTAAGCGGCCAGCTCGGACCCGGGATCCAGGAGCGCGATACATCATCGGAACGGTCTCGGAGCAAGGATTCATCTGAGCCAAACGGCTCATTATTCGGACATTCGCGCACGGAGTTACACTCTAATAACCAAGAGGGTGTGAATCTGCCTGCATCATCTTCACCGTCACCGCCGTTGCCTCCACCACCACCTCAACGTCAATCTTCAGTGCTCCTGCCGCAAATGGATCATGACTCAGGCGAAGGGAAGCTGGAGAGTGCGCCAAAGTTCGACGGGGGCGACTATTGGACTTGGAGATTCCGATTCGAGCAATGGGCAGAGACACACGATCTATGGGGGTACTTTGATGGTTCGGAGGAGCGGCCTGCATCGGGTGACGCACGGCTAAAGTGGGAGAGGAAAAATCAGAAGGCCTTTGCCAATTCTACAATGCCTTGGTTCCAGATGAGTTGATTCGCTTGGTACGGGAGTTCGGCGGCAAGACCGAGTTGGGAAATGCACCTGTTGATGGCGGAGCAAGAGCGGTCACCCGAGTTCCTGTAGGCACAGCAGCGGCATACACACGAGTGAAGGAGTTCTACCTTCAGCGTGGATTGTGTAACTAGATGGCACTCTCTGAGGAACTCTCTTCCTTGAAGATGAAAGAAGGGGAGGGGGTGGCTGCATACTGGGCGCGTGCCGAGGACTTGAGGTCCAAGTACTTGGCTGCAGGAGGGAAGGAGGAGGTTGAGGAGTGGATGATGAGGGTACTCAAAGGACTACCTCCTCACTTTGAGATGCTGAAGGTAGTGCTGAACAACCAATCACCATCGCTTACTAAGGATCAACTGCTTACCTCCTTGAGGAGCGAGGAGATGCGGATTGGTGTCGCACCAAGATCGGATGGTGTAGCCACTTTTGGAGCGGGTACGAAAGTGGGCAGCATCAGCGACAGGGGAAATTTGGACAAGGGAGGAAAGCATGGAGGCAGCGGTAGCAGCAGTGACACCAACTCGGGCAGATGCGGTCAAGGAAAAGGCAAAGCGGGAGTGCTTGATTTCCCCTGGGGATCCAAGGGCACGGCTCCGCGGGGGTTGTGTCATGGCTGTTGGGATGAGGGACATGCATGGCAGCGATGTCCTTATCGACCTAAGGAAGGCATTCCGGCAAGCTTAAAGCGGGGGGGTCGTGGATCCAACGGCAAGGCACAGGTGGCGGATGAGGAGGAGCAGGATGACAAGGCAAAAGCAGTGGTTGGAGAGGCAGTTGCAGCAGTGGGAGAGGAGCAGCCGCGAGAGGGGTGGTGGATTGACAGTGGGGCCAGCCACAACTTTACTCCTTATGCATCGGACTTCAAAAGTAAGCTTCAGCCACCAGAGGTTCGGGGAGTTAGATTGGGAGATGGACAGGTGGTGAAAGCTGTTGGCATGGGTGAGGTGCCAGTGGTTGGTGCTGGAGGTCAGCTGCTGAGGATTCAAAAGGTCCACCTTGTGCCTGAGATGCACACGCGTCTGCTGTTAGTCCCACACCTCACCTCTCGAGATGTCATTGTCACATTCAAGGGCAAGAAATGCGTTCTTAAACAGGGGGAGAGGGTGTTGGCGATTGGAGAAAAGGAAAGGGGCAGGGACCATGGATTGGTGCGGATGTCTCTTCCTCTTGCTCGGGGCACACAAGGCAGTGCTCTTGCAGCTGGGTCCTCCTCCTCATTTTCCCCATTGACCCTTGCTCATCGCTGCCTTGGTCACACCGCCCCCACAACATTGCAACAAATGGCTCGGGGGAACGGTGTACTGGGCTTGGAGATCGGGGGGGGGGGAAGCACTGATTGCTCCCCATGTGAGCCTTGCTTATTGGGAAAGTCGGCTTGGAAGCCGTTTCCCCACGAGGCGTCTCGGGCACTTGGGCCTTTGGATGAGGTCCACATGGATTTGTGGGGGCCAGTGCGCACACCATCACTGGGAGGAGCGGTGTATGTCCTCAATCTCATTGACGACTTCACCAGACGAGTTTGGTCGTTCCCACTCCCCAACAAGGAATAGGCCACAGTCGCAAAAGTCCTTCGCAAGTGGCATAAGGACGTGGAGTTGGAGTGTGGGCGGAAGCTGAAGGCTGTTCGCTCCGACTGAGGTGGCGAGTTCTTGGGGGACGCTATGAAAGCATGGAAAGCGGAGTTTGACATCATAACCCAATTGAGTGTCGCAGATACACCGCAGCAGAATGAGGTCGTGGAGAGGTGGCACCGGACGATGGCAGAGGGGATTCGCACATTGTTGGTCGACAGTGGTCTCCCTGCTCGCTTGTGGGGTGAAGCATTGATGTGGGTCGTGTGGGTTAAGAACAGGGTCACCCACAGTGCTTTGCCTGCCTCCATCACACCAATGGAGGCGTGGTCCGGCCAGAAGCCGCATGTGGGCATAGCTCGGATTTGTGGTTGCATGGGGAGTGTCATGCTGCATGGGCATGAGAAGGGTGGCAAGCTTGATGCACAGGCTGTCATGTGTGTCTGTGTTGGGGTGGACATGGAGAGCAAGGGTTGGCGCATGCTGGACCCTTCTCTCATGCGCATTCGCATTGCTCGGGATGTTGATTTTCTTGAGAATGTGATGTGGAAGGATTGGGACAAGGCAAAGGGATTTGGGGAGCTTCTGCAGGATGCAGCTGCGATTTCCCAACTCCTCCCTCTTCCACTCTCGCCACCCTCAGCAACGGCTGACGACGTTGAGATGCCACCGGCACCGCTAAGTGTGTCGGTGCAGCAGCAGCCCACCCCTCTGCAGAAGCTCAATGGCCCCTCGGTCATTCAGCGGACATTCGCTACACAGGCTACTTCCTCTTCCTCCTCCTCTGGTCAGCGCTCTGTCCCTCTCTCTACGGGTGCCCCTCCGTCACCAGCGACTACCTCCCCACCACCAGTTACGGGTTTGCAGGTGCTTGGTATCCAGTCTGGTACAGGTGGTGAGGAGGTAGGGGGGCATGCTGTGTTTGGCCAGGGAGGTGGAAGGTGTTGCACTGGCAGGTGTGAGCACCGGTGATGTCCCACGCACACTCGCTGAGGTCCTGCGTGGCCCTGAGGGCCCTGTGTGTAAGGCAGGCACTGAGAAGGAGGTGAATGCAATGCTCACTATGGGTGTATGGGATCCAGAGCCGGTCGACTTACCTCCAGGTAAGAAGGCCATTGGGGTCAGGTACGTTTTCCGCAGGAAAACTGATAAGGAGGATAAGGTGGTACAGCACAAGGTTCGCCTTGTTGCTAAGGGGTACACTCAGGAGCCCGATAAGGACTATGATCAGGTATTTGCCCCTGTGGGCAAGCTCACCTCAGGTCGGGTGCTTCTTGCAGAAGCCGCGGTAAAAGGGTGGCATGTACAACAGGAGGATGTTGATCATGCTTACCTCAATGCAGTCCTTCAAGAGGAGGTGTATGTGAGGCAACCTGAGGGATTTGATGATGGTACAGGTAGGGTGTATCGCTTGAGCAAAACTCTCTATGGGCTCAAGCAAGAGCCTCGTGCTTGGAATGAGGAGATTGGGACGACCCTGATTGCAGCAGGGTTTGACCGCAGTGCATGTGATGAGGCTCTGTACATCAGGTTTATGGATGAAGAGCCAGTGTATGTATTGGCGTATGTGGATGACCTCTTGCTTGTGTCTCCACGCTTGGAGCTGATCGGTCAGGTCAAGGAGGTGCTTGCTCAGAGGTACCAGATGAAGGATCTAGGTGAGGTATCCACGTACCTTGGTGTGGAGGTTCGCAGGTCGATTAAGGATGGGTGGTTGGAGATTGGTCAGGAGAAGTATGTCCGTGGTCTTCAGGGAAGGTTTGGTGATCTGCTGAAGGAGACCCATAGGGTGCATACTCCAATGTCACCCAATGATCTCTCTAAGATCAGGAATGGTACTTGGTCGACTGAGGAAGGTGTTGCAGCTGATGTCAAGGTGTACCAGAGTCTCATTGGCAGCTTGATGTATGCTGCTGTGACCACCCGTCCTGACATGTCTTTTACTGTCAACACCCTTGCACAGTCCCACGTGGCACCAAAACACATTCACATGCGTGCTGCACTGAGAGCACTCAGGTACTTGGTCGACACAGCTGATCGTGTCATCAGGTATGAGCGCCAAGGTGGTGAGCAGGTTGTTGGGTACACAGACTCGGATTGAGGTTGGTGAGACTGATGGCAAGAGTCGCTCTGCCTACATCTTTAAGCTAGGAGGAGGATCAATTAGCTGGTATAGCAAAAAGCAAGACAGTGTTGCAGCAAGCATTTCTGAAGCTGAGTACAAAGCTCTATCGGAGGGGGCTAAGGAGGCCATTTGGTTGAGGATTTTGTTGGTAGAGATGCATGTGGGGGATGGGGGGGCTATTCCATTGCTCTGTGATAATGAGGCTGCTGTCTCCCTTGCCCACAATCCCGTTCTCCATCAGCGCACCAAGCACATTAAGGTGGCATGGCACTTTGTACGGGATGCGGTGCGCCAGCAGGAGGTCGAGGTGCACTCAGTACCGTCATCACCCAGATATAAGACATACCGTCATACCCCGGATATACCCCCAGGCCTATGTTACACCCATGCGGTTATAATCGTACCAGTGGGCTTATAGCCGGGTGCCGATTATAACCCCACCCTAAATTTGGATCATCTTTGTATAAGCGCACCCTATGATATTTTACTCAAATATGTGTTTTCCTAGTGAATTCGCCACTAACGCGTCAGGAGAAATGGTCGCTAACGTGCCTGGCGAAGTCTTCCTTGGCCCACTTGGCGAATTTGTCACAGGCGCGCACGTGTTAGCAATATTTCAGCACGTCATGGCAGGGATTTTCGCCAGGGTGGCAGATTCTCGGTGAATTTCGAAGCAAACTGTTTTGTGGTAGTCTCGATTGAAACCGCAAGGCTGAGATCTACATTTCTATGTTTTAAAATCATAATTCTCTAAGTGTCATTTATTTCCCCCATGGGGTTATACAATTTACCACATTATAAGCCCACCCACCATTTTTTCAAGTTTTATTACACCCCCATATGGGGGTATATCCGGGGCATGACGGTATATGTCTTTATCTCGTACACTAAAAAAAATGCTTGGGTTATCTTGTATTCGGGGAGGATTTGGGCGTCTTATAAGTCTTATAAATGGGAACTTTTTTAAAGTACTAGAAATTTTTTCACACATCTTGAATTCGTGTGTCGCATGGGTAAAAATGTACGCGATATTCTATTTTCGCTATAATATATTGCAGTTTCGATTATAAGACACATCTCTTGTTGGAAACAAGAAGTCGCTAGAGCGCAGCGGAAGCTCTAGGAATTAACGACGTCCCTACGGCGGGGCAATGGTCACTCAGAGGTAGCTCTCCTAGCTTGTAACTTGGTGCCAGCCGGAGCAGCAGCCGAGGGTGGGCCGGACGCAAGCTTGAGAATTGTGTAATAAGAGACATGCATTACATTCTGTTATATAGGAATCATACAAGGCAGGTAGTTACCAAGGCGCAACTGTATTACAGTTGCGATGTAACAGTTCGGTTGCCCTGTAACAGCTGCATGAGAACTTGGAGCGCATCGGCATGCGAGTGATGGCTGCGAAGGCCAATGCTTCATTCGCTGGAGGGGTTGTGTTTTGATTTATGGGTGAACTTTAATGCTTATTGGAGCAAGGGGGGGTGTTGGTATTAAGGTTAATTCGGGTTGCTCCAATAAACATATGTAGTGATACATCTACACTATAGTAGTGTAGAATACATTGGTTGGGTTGGGAGAACTTGTGGTATACACTCTATAGAGTGGACCACCTCCCAAACCCTATAGGTTAGGGTTCTCATCTCACTTGTTGGAACTTCACTTCTTGGAAACCACTTTGGTTCTAGCTTGGTTCATGCCCAAGTGGGCTCCTAAGATTCCTAGGCTTTATGAGGAAGTTCTAAGACTACTAAAGCTTCCGCTGGGTAGTAGTTTAGTCCATTCTAACAGATTACGATATCACAAGATCTTTACTGTAGCATGTGCATGTGCCCCTTCGTGAGAGGCAGTGAGTCAAGGCGAGGGCATGTGAGAGACAGTGAGTCAAGGCGAGGGCATGTGAGAGGTAGCGAGTCAAGGCGAGTGCATGTGAGAGGTAGTGAGTCAAGGCGAGGACATGTGAGAGGTAGTGAGTCAAGGCGAGGGCATGTGAGAGCCAGTGAGTCAAGGCGAGGGCATGTGAGAGGTAGTGAGTCAAGCGTGAGCATGATGGCAGGGCAAGTGAGATTGCTTGTCCATCCACGCACTTGGTCGAAACCCATGCCTGAGAGCAGGGCAATTGCCGTGCCTCTACATGGGGCTCGCTGCTTCCTGCCCCTCCTTCGCCCTGCATAAGCTGCAGCTGCACATGCCTCGGCACACCACGCACTGCCACGTGGCATCAGCCAGTGCGTCCAAAATGCTCTCTCGGTACCTGACGGTATGTGTGAGGGTGCGGCACGGTAACACATGGCGATGGCAGCATCATCAATGCGTGACCATGTGTGCATGTACGATATGGCAACATCTATGTGTGAATTAACTACAGGCATCTCTAGATAGATAGGGAAACATGTGGAGATACATGGCAATAGCACACTATGCAATAGGGCAAAACTGGACAATGGATGGATGTATGTGTCGATATCTGACATGCGGTAGGATGTGCCAATAGTGAAAACAAGTGGCCATACTGGCGATATGTGTCGATCAGAGGCAAATCCAAAGAGTTGTGGCAATGTAGCCATGGAGGGAATACGTGACCGACTTGACTATTGTGGCAATTGTGGCAACGAGTGGGATTATGCGAATGGCAACAGCGGCACTGCATGGCAACAGTGGCACTGCATGGCAACAGCGGCACTGCATGGCAACAGTGGCACTGCATGGCAAGTTGCAATAGAAGTCCCCCACCAATTATTGCTCTTCAGGGTTCCACATTGCCTAGGGCGAGCAGGGCACCTGGAAAAGAGGCAGTGCGCGCAGATCTGGTTCCTCCCAGCCCGGCACGACACACAGCGTGTGGTGCGCCCTGCCGTCATGGCTCTACACGTGCCACACATGGGGGTCATGTGAGGTAGGGTCATGTGAGAGGGACATGTGAGGGGGATATGTGAGGGGACGTACAAGAAAATAGCATGGAGGGACGATATAAGGAAGGGGGACAAACAGCAGCTGTGCAAGGAGCATGGTGAGAGGCAGGTGTGCAAGGAGCATGGTGAGAGGCAGGTGTGCAAGGAGCATGGTGAGAGGCAGGTGTGCAAGGAGCATGGTGAGAGGCAGGTGTGCAAGGAGCATGGTGAGAGGCAGGTGTGCAAGGAGCATGGTGAGAGGCAGGTGTGCAAGGAGCATGGTGAGAGGCATGTGTGCAAGGAGCATGGTGAGAGGCAGGTGTGCAAGGAGCATGGTGAGAGGCAGGTGTGCAAGGAGCATGGTGAGAGGCAGGTGTGCAAGGAGCATGGTGAGAGGCAGGTGTGCAAGGAGCATGGTGAGAGGCAGGTGTGCAAGGAGCATGGTGAGAGGCAGGTGTGCAAGGAGCATGGTGAGAGGCAGGTGTGCAAGGAGCATGGTGAGAGGCATGTGTGCAAGGAGCATGGTGAGAGGCAGGTGTGCAAGGAGCATGGTGAGAGGCAGGTGTGCAAGGAGCATGGTGAGAGGCAGTAGACGCAAAGATTAGCGAGGGAAGGAGCATGTAGGCAGCAATAAATCGAAGGAGGCAATAGAAGAAAGGCGCATGGAGAGCCATGACTGCATACTGTTGCTACCGGTCATCTGATCGCACCTCTTGATGTCTGCCCGTCCATGTGAGCCCACCCGTTGTTGCGATGAGCAGTGCGGCCGGGTTCAGCCGCAAGCTGTACAATATCATGCCTAGCTTGCTCTTTACGCAATTGCCGCATGGTCAACAGCAGCAACGCAACTGACGCACTGCTACCAGGGCGACTCAGCTATGCCAAATAATGCTTACCCTGCTTTCCACGCAATGCACTCTCACCTGCACTGGTGGCAGCACTCTCACCTGCACTGGTGGCAGCACTCTCACCTGCACTGGTGGCAGCACTCTCACCTGCACTGGTGGCAGTAGCGCCACGTGTGGCTGTCTCTCAAGCGAAAGCCGTGCTCATCGCACCCCTCCCACTTGCCCACAGCCCCTTCACGCTGCTCCTCATCTTCCCCTGTGCGCCGCATGGCTTCGTGGGGACTGCGCATCAAGCCAGCATGGCCACCACCGCCACCACAGTGTGCATCCTCTCTGTCCTCTCCCCTGTGCATCGCCTCACTGTTCCATCCCTGTACCTTCCCTCGCCGTGCCTCCCCCCCTTGTGACTCCCCCTCTCCCTGCGGCACCACACCCCTCCCGTTGAAAAGGAAATTCCTTGGCGCCCATAACAGACTACCATTGCCTTCCCTCTCTTCCCTTCCTCCCTGTCCTGCACTCTGCCCTTCCCCTTGTGCACGTTGGTTCCCCTTTGCCCCATGCTCATCTCTGCTCTTCCTATCATTCTGGTCCAGCCCTTCACGCATTTCTCCCCCTCTCTCCTCTGCGCGACCCCCCTCGCTGCACGGCACGGCGTCCACAGCCTGCCAGGCCAACACGCGCGCGCCACCGGCAGAGAGGAACGGTCGCGCCGCCCACACCACCGCACACCTGTGCCCCTCGCTCTCCCTCTCCCTCTCCCTCTCATTGCTGCACTGTCCCCCCCCTCCTTTGCTGCTGCCTGCCTGCCTGCATGCGCCGCTGCTGGCCTCGCCGCCTCCATCCTCCTCGCCCCCTGCCTCACTGCACCCACGCCCACGCCCATGCCTCTGGAGCACCACGCGCACCTGCCTCTGCACAGCTGTGCGCCCTTCAATCGGCCCCCACGCACCGTGCTGCACCGTGCCGTGCCGCACTGCCACCTCCACCACGCCCGCCCCTCCAAGGAACGGCCTGGGAACCCACGCCAGCCCCCCACTGCGTGCCCGCCCCTCCCAGCCCCTCCCACTGCCGTCTGCTGCCCGCCTCTCCACCCCTCCCCCCCAACCGCTCTCCTCCCACTCGTGCTGCTGCACTCGCCCCTTCCCTGCACCTGTCTCGCCGTCTCCACCCGCCTCTCCCCGCTCTTGCGGCCGCCACTGCTGCTGGACGGCCGAGCCCCCACCGGGGAAGAAGCACCGCGGCACCCACACCACCGCACTCCCGCCCTGCTCGCTGCCGCCCCCTCCGCGCCCGCCGTGCTGTGCGCCGAGCGCACCCACAGCAGGGGCGGGGGCGGGCAGCTTGGCGGGCGTGGCGGGTGCGAGGGGGCGGCGCGTCTCACAGTAGTCCACTCGCCCCACGGCCCTGGAGGCATGGGCACGGGCAGGGCAGGCACGAGAAGCAGTGGAAGGGGGGGCAGGTGAGGATGAAAGGTGGGACGAGAGGGCACGAGGGATGATGAAGGCGCCGGGGGGAACAGCGAAGGGGCAGCAATGGGAGACGAGCGATGGCATTCCTTCCCCCATGCACCCATGCGGGCAACTGCCGCAGCCGCTCCTTCCCTCCTCCCGCCTCACCACGGCCGGGCACCCATCAGCGAGACACTTCGCTTGCCCCGTGAAGTAAAAGTCCCCCGCGCGCCTCATCCCCTCCGCGCGCCGCATCCCCCCCGCGCGCCTCATCCCCCCGGCGCGCCTCATCCCCCCCGCGCGCCTCATCCCCCCCGCGCGCCTCATCCCCCCCGCGCGCCTCATCCCCCCCGCGCGCCTCAGCCACTACCTGCTGGACCGCCGCCGTGAACCGACGTTCTCCGCGGGTGACAACATTGCTGACGTCTTTTGTCGTTTCGCCAGCGTCTGCTGCTGCCGCGCGGCCCGTTTCACCGCTTCCGCTTCCATCCGCAGCTCCGCCACCAGTCGCTGCGTCTCACGGACCTTCGCCAGTCGCCGCGCCTCATACGCCGTCGCAGGCGCCGCACCAGCGACGGCGGAGTCCTGTCGCTTGTCGCTCTGAGACGCATCAGTCGCAGCTGGTCGCTCATCGCTCGATTCGCTGGAATCGCTCGAACAGCTCGAGCCGCTCGAATCGCTCGAGTACGACTCGGCGGTGCGGATCTGGTCCGCATCGGAATTTATTGGAATCGCAGCGCTGGCACTTGCTGAGGCCATGGCGGGTTGGACTAGTGACGCTGACGGCTGCGGGAACGGCCCCGAATGTGGTGATGGCCTAGGTCGAAAGGGAAGTGAAGCACTAAGGACGCGTCACAAAGTAACATAAAACCTGCATGAATTCGGTGCTAAGGTGGTTACATTTATTTCGTTAACATTCGCTAAAATACAGTTGTCCCTTCGGAGTCAGGCGATCGATGTGCCCTTGTCACGCATCGATCGTGCAATTTCGTCCACATCGGGCAATTTTGCCCCACGGTCGTGTCACTGGAAACTTGCAGCGGGCCCGCGATTGCAAAAAGGCGGTCGTGGAACACTGAAATGGCGATCGGTTTGGCAGGATCGGTGACAACCCCGATCCTTCCTCGGTATTCTACTTGTAACGCGTCCTAAGTGATGTCCTGTCAAACCAGATATACAAGGTGTGAATTCGCAGCGGAGTGGTCAAACCAGGTCTAACTTCGCAAGCGGGAACCCTGAAAACCTAAAACCCCGTTGGACACTTCACATGCTCAGTCGATGATAAACACTTATATCAAGATGATATCAACTACATTTAGAATCAAAGAACAGCATTCAACACAAGCACACTTGCTCACGCATAATCAAAGCTGATGAAATCCTAGTTACGAGTGCAATTGAGTGAGCGAGCGAGAATTGCACTATCGAAGCAAAACAGTACAATGAGTGAAGAAATTAGCGAGCATACTTGCGCGCTTTGTTGCGCCAGGGAGACACCATCCTGTTCAATGGACAGCAGCTGTGAGGGTGGCGAAGTACCTAGCGACGACATCAGGTGTGGGGCTAGTTCTTGGAGGGCAGCAGTCTGTCGTACTTACTGGTCACTGTGACTCTTCTTACGCTGACGACGCTGAGACTCACAGGTCTACTCAGGGGTACTGTTTCAGCCTGGGTTCTGGAGCTGTTTCCTGGCGGTCCACGCGCTCCTCTTCGGTCTCGACCTCTACAGCTGAGGCTGAGATCTACGCTGGTGCCATGGCGGCACAGGAGCTGCGTTGGTTGACGTTCTTGCTCGCCGACCTGGGTGAGCGGCCGAGCTCTGCACCGACCTTGTTCACTGACAACAAGGCATCGATTCTCCTTTGTCGAGAGCCGCGACTGGAGAGCAGAGTGAAGCACATTAACGTCAGGTACTTCCTTCTGCGAGAGTTGCAGAGACGTGGACAGGCTCGCTTCGAGTTTGTGGAGTCCGAGGCCAACACTGCAGACATCTTTACCAAGGCGCTTCCGCCTTGTGACCAACACAGCTGCTGTGTGCAGTTAGGCCTTGCTGACACTGGTTTTTGTCTTACTTAGTCTTGAGTTTACTGTTTGCTTTGCTTGTACACTTTCTATATATCTCTGTTGTGGCTTGGACTAGCCTTGTGGCCACTGTTGCTTGTGCTCAGAGTGTGTGTTAACGTTGTGATCCACCCCGAGCTTTGTTTCTTTGTGACTGGTCTTATAACTATACTCTTTTGGTTTTTTCTAGACACCCCTCACTTAGGCTATGGGGGTGTGTCAAATGTTGTAGCATGTAGTGAGGTTTGTCTTAGGGGGTACAAAAGTTAGGGTTTGTTATATGTACCCCAAACCAACATCAATGCATCATTCATTCCTCAGTTTGACATGGTGCTACGGCAATGTATACGCTGAGCAGGGATGCGGCATAAGGAATTAGTAATTTCCTTATACTATCCCTCCCTAAGAAGGCCCTCCTTACGAGAGTGCGTATACATCTCGCGACTACGCAGATAGACGGTGAGGACGGGATGGTTTTCATGTCAAACTATATCTATGCTAGTTATGTGTAGGCTATAGTGGGGTAGCCCATATGGGGTACAACCCACAAATCACTCAATGCGCAAGGGGAGGCAAGTGAGGATGAAGGTGGGACGAGAGGGCATGCGAGCTGCTGGAGGCGCCGGGGTGAACAGCGAAGAGGCAGCAATGAGGCGAGCGATGGCATTCCTTCCCCCATGCACCCATGCGGGCAACTGCCCCAGCCGCTGCTTCCCTCCTCCTGCCTCACCACCTCGCCACGGCCGGGCATCCGTCAACGAGCCACCTCGCTTGCCCCCCACCCGCCTCAAAGTCCCCCACGCGCCTCATCCCTCCCGCGCGCCTCCGCCACTACCTGCTGGACCGCCACTGTAAACCGACGTTTTCCGCGGGTGACGTTATTGCTGACGTCTTTTGTCATTTTGCCAGCGTGTGCTGCTGCCGTGCAGCTCGTTTCACCTCTTCCGCTTCCATCCGCAGCTCCGCCACAAGTCGCTGCGTCTCACGGACCTTCGCCAGTCGCCGCGCCTCGTACCCCGTCGCAGGCGTCGCACACGACGCACCAGCGACAACGGAGTCGTTATCAACCGTAAACGTTGACTCCTGTCGCATGTCACCCTGACCCGCATTAGTCGCAGCTGGTCGCGCGTCGCTCAAATCGCCGGAGTCGCTTGAAAAGCTCGAGCCGCTAGAGTCGCTGGAGTACGACTTGGCGGAGTGGATCTGGTCCGCATTAAGAATGACGGCACTCGCTGCTGCCATGGCGGGTGGACTAGCCATGCCAAAATTAAGAGCGCCAGAATTGCTACTAAACTGAGGCATTACCCAAGTTCATCCTCGCAAGGTAAGGGCGCGTCATTTTCATATCAAGTCATCTCATTTCTTGCAACATAGAACGAAATTCGTAGGGTTGCCAGCTAAATAAGGTTCAAAGGTATCCCCACACACAAACGCGACAAGGTGTGAGGACGTGGTATGGACAAATCATTGTGCAGATTCCGAATTGCTGTGAAGCCTCAGCCGCAAACCTCTCTCAATAGTAAAAACCTGCAGCATGCAAAATTACCAGCCTAGCGAAAGTCACATTGGCGAATTTACACAGAGTTTGGTACAAGTAGGAAACCCTAACTTTGTGTACCCCCCAAGGTGTAACCCACTACAGCCTACACAATATAAACATACAATGTTTGACACACCCCCATAGGCGCAGTGGGAGACAACCACAGGGTCACGAGACCAGTCAAAGCAAAGCAAAGCAAGCTCAGGGTGGATCTCAAGGATTCCACACAAATTCCGAGCACAAGCAAGCGGTCACAAGACCAGTTCACATGCAGGTTTATAACAAAGCAAGAGATACAGTGATCACAACCTAGCAAAAGTAAACAAGTAGGCATATATATATAGTGATCACAGTACAAGCAAGGTCAAGAGGTAAGCAAGTGAGGCCCAGTAGGTACAAGGCCTAGCAGAGTGCAAAAGCGCTGATGGTCACAAGGCTGAAGCGCCTTGGTGAACACATCAGCAGTGTTGGCCTCCGTGGCCACGTAACGCAGACAAAGCTGACCACGCTGCTGCAGCTCTCGAGCAAGGAAGTACCGCAGAGCGATGTGCTTCGTTCTGTGCTCCAGTCTGTGCTCCTCACACAAGGCAATGGCAGCCTTGTTGTCGACGTACAGCACTGGAGGAGAACGAGGCCGCTCTCCGAGGTCGGTCAGCAGGTAGGTCAGCCAGCGTAGCTCCTGAGCAGCCATGGCTGTGGCGTAGATCTCAGCCTCACAACTGGAGCTGAGAACAGAAGAAGAGCGAGTAGAACGCCAAGAAACTGAGCCAGAGCCAAGGCTGAAGGTGTAACCCTGGGACGACCGCTGAGTAGCCTGGTCGTCTGCCCAAGAAGCGTCTGAGTGCCCTGTGAGAACAACCCGGTCTCGCCCTCCAAGCACAAGCCCCATGCCCGACGTACTGCACAAGTAGCGCAACACCCTCTTAGCAGCATCCATGTGCTCCTTCCGGTGACGGCCAGGAGCGACATAGCGTGCTAGGATGCTAAGAGGGTATGCAAGGTCAGGTCGAGTGCAGGTCATCAGGTACATGAGGCAGCCCACAAGCTCTGGATACGGGCCACTCGGCTCTACGGACTCATCCGAAGGCAGAGCTGAGAGCGAGTGACCGGTAGGCAGAGGAGTGGACTGAGGCGAGGAGTACGTGAAGCGGAAGCGCTGGAGAACCTGCTGCACCATGTGTGACTGAGTCAGGGTGATGGTGCGCCGTGCTCTGTCCCGGGTGATCCGCAAGCCAAGATAGCTTGTCAGCTCACCCAGGTCTGTGCACGTGTGTCTCCTCTGCAGCTCCGACTTCACGTGGGCGAGTGCCGCGGTGTCAGCAGTGGCAAAGACCAAGTCGTCGACGTACATGAGGATGTAGAACGGCGGCAGCGAGGTGTCGGTGCGTAGAAACAGCGACGGGTCAGCAGTAGAGGGAGCGAACCCAAGAGCCGCAAGTGTCGTCCTCAGTGTGTCGTGCCACTCACGTGGCGCCTGGCGGAGACCGTAGACCGGCCGCTGAAGCCTCCACTGGGTGCCAGGAGGAACTGACCCAGTGAAGCCAGGGGGGCGGCGCAGCCAGATCTCCTCGTGCAGGCTGCCCTGCAAGAAAGCAGTGCTGAAGTCAAGAGAGTGAAGCTCGTAGTCACGGTGAGCGGCTATGTGCAGCAGCACCCGAAGAGTAGTCATCTTCAGGGTGGGGGAGAAGGTCTGAAAGAAGTCTACTCCCTCTCGCTGACTGAAGCCTCGAGCCACGTAGCGCGCCTTGAAGACAGGCGGAGAACCCGGCGGCCGCTTCACCCTGAAAATCCACATGCCACTGACGATGTTCGCCCCAGGAGGGGGAACCTCGTCTACGTAGGTGCGTGTGGACTTCCAGGAAGCCATCTCTGCGTCCATGGCTGTCTGCCACTGAGAGGAGTAGGGACCCGCCATCGCCTCAGCGTAAGAGCGTGGGGTCGGGATGTCTGGTGCATCCGGGTCTCCCTCAGGGGCAACTAGCAAGGACACGAGACGGGGCAAAGCAGCAGCAAGGCAGTGGAACTCCTCCTGTCTGTCCTCAAGGACGTCCGTGCCGAGGGCACACTCACCCCCGACGGACGGAGGACAGGCAGACGCAGACTCAGACTCAGCGACAAGGCTGGCAGCGTAGTCTAGGCGACAGCGAGCAGCAAAGTCAACCAACTCAGCGACCAGAGCAGACGCAGCAGAGGACTCAAAGGTCGGGTCAGTGACAACTGTAGCGAGGAGACGCGTAACAGTGGGACTGGCAGCACGACGGGAGTCAGACTCCGGGTCAGGAAGAGTAGGAAGAGAGGACGCAGGAGGAGACGGCAGCGGGACACGCTGCGGAGCAGTGGAGGGACGCAGAGTCATGTAGTGAGTGCAAGGGACAGGAGGAGGACGCTCACGTGGGACACGGCGACCAGTGCGAGCAGTACGGACAGGCGACGCAGGACGAGACTCAGGCTCACGACGCTCTGTAAGACCTCCTGTGGGACCAGCGTAAGGAGAGGGAGCAGGGAGAGGCGAGGCAGGCGGTAACTGTGACTGCGGCTGGACAGGCAGAGGACACTCGACGGAGGGAGGAGGACTAGGAGGAGGAGCCTGACCAAGAACCTGCTGAAGGAGCGGTACGAAGTACGGTCGCGGCCGCGCAGCGTCTCCAGAAGCAGCAGGGACACCAGTGGCAGCCCCAACGCCTGAGTCCTCAGCACCAGCAGCAGCTCCAACGCCCGGGTCCTCAGCACCAGCAGCAGGGCCACCGGTCAGGTCCTCAGCACCAGCAGCAGCGCCACCGGTCGGGTCCTCAGCACCAGCAGCAGCTCCAACGCCCGGGTCCTCAGCACCAGCAGCAGCTCCAGCCCCCGGGTCCTCAGCACCAGCAGCAGCTCCAACGCCCGGGTCCTCAGCACCAGCAGCAGGGCCACCGGTCAGGTCCTCAGCACCAGCAGCAGCGCCACCGGTCGGGTCCTCAGCACCAGCAGCAGCTCCAACGCCCGGGTCCTCAGCACCAGCAGCAGCTCCAGCCCCCGGGTCCTCAGCACCAGCAGCAGCTCCAGCGTCCGGGTCCTCAGCACCAGCAACAGCACCACCGCTCGGGTCCGCAGCACCAGGAGCACCACTACGAAGACTGCAGCGCCGCGTGTACCACTCGCGGATCACCTGAATGGGGGGGAGCTCCTGGGTAGGAGGGGAAGTACCGGGACGAGCTCCAGAAGCACCTCTCCGGAGGCGGCAGTACTCGAGGTACCTCTCCTGCAGCTGCTGGGAGGAGAGGGCTCCTCCAGGTGGAGCACGCTCAGGCTCAGCACCCCCAGACTCAGCACGTCCAGACTCAGCACCCCCAGGCTCAGGCTCCGCACCTCCAGGCTCAGCACCCCCAGGCTCCGCACCTCCAGGCTCAGCACCCCCAGGCTCCGCACCCTCAGACGCAGCACTCCCAGGCTCAGCACCCCCAGACGCAGGACGCGAGTCAACAGCTACCTCGACAGGCTCACCCGGGTCTACCTGGGACACACCTGAGGGAGCGGCACCCTGAGGGGGGAGGGGGTCTGGTACCTCAGCACCTGGAGCGAGGAAGAGAGGCGGGGGGGGGAGCGGGGCAGTGCGGTAGGGGAAGAGGCGGTAGAAGGGGACGGACTCGTCAAAAGTGACGTCCTGAGAGGCCAGAACCCGGCGCGAGGTGACGTGGTAAAACTGCCATCCAGGCGCGTCGGGAACAAAGCCAAGAAAGACACAGGGAACAGCGCGACGCGAGAGCTTGTCCGCGGACGTGTCGCGGACAAAAGCTCGAGATCCCCAGACCCGGAAACGCGACGCATCGCCAACCTCTCCCGTCCACCGTAGAGTCGGGGAAGTCTCCGGCAAGGAGACACGGGGCCAGAGGTTGAGCTGATGCGCTGCGTACCGGACCGCAAACGGCCACAGAAAGTGGGGAGCAGCCGCATGGGTCAGGGAGGTACGAGCGACCTCCATGACCAAGCCAATGCGGCGCTCAGCGACCCCATTCTGCTGTGGAGAGGCCGGAAGCGTGAACGACTGCTCAATGCCGTGCTCAGCACAGTAGGCTGCCAAGAGGTCGGAGGCGAACTCACCACCTCTGTCAGAGTGCAAGCGCAGGACAGGAAAGTCCGAGTGAAAGCGCTTGCCTAGCTGGAGACGGGCTCGGCTGATCCAGGGGATCAAAACACCAGGGACGTCACCCTTGGCGCGCAAGGGGAAGACCGTGGTGTAGCGCGAGTAGTCGTCAACAACTATCAGGAAGTACCTCTCCTGACCCTGACCACGGACGCGGGCTGGGCCCCACACGTCCATGTGGAGCGTCTGCAAGGGAGCAGTCGTCGGGGGAAAGGAGGAGGAGTGAGGAGCGGCGCGCTGCCGCCCCTCGACACAGGGAATGCAGTCAGGAGCAGGGGAGTCGGGAAGGGGAGGGAGCACCCTGGGAAGACCAGCAACAAGGTCCCGTTTGTGCATGGCCCGAAGGCGCTGCACAGACGGGTGACCAAGGCGGTGGTGCCAGAGGACAGTCTCATGCGCCAGAGAGCGACATGAGCAGGGGGCGGACAGCTGACCTGACGCAGACGCAGACGCAGACGCAGCTACCTGAGGGGACTCAGTGGTCAGTGTGTACAGGTCCGACCCCGGCTCCCGAGTGAAAGTAGCCAGGTGGCGGCCCGTCCGAGCACACGTGCAATGTGTCACACGCTCGTAGGCAGGGGTGAACTGGTGAACACCCCC